GACAGCAAGTCAAACAAACCATCGAGGTAAAGGAGCTGCATCCTACGATCTCTGAGAAGTTTAACGAAAATACGCAGACTCGAGCGGCTTTGGCGAGTACCACTAGCTGAGCTATGCTTGCTGTCCGGCTGTCCCACCTCCCCCTCAAATCCCCGTGCTGGACTTATTGGGATATATGATTTCTCAGGGTCAGGATGAGGGAGGAAGGAGGAGGGGGAAGGGGACTTGAAGTCCGTGTATTGAGACTTAAGGACCATCTCCTTGAGGACTTAAGGACATTCCTCGTTCAGTATCAAATGGTAGGCAGTGTTGTCCCCTTGTCCATTAGAACCGAATAAGCTAGTAGCACTGGTTTCACTGATGAATTACTAATTTTAGATTTCCGAGACGAAATTCTTTGGTGCAGCCTACTTGGTGACTCTTACCGCTGAATATCCCCCTCTCCTGACACATGTCGACTTTTGACGGTCCCGACAACCGCTTAGAGGTCACATTCTGCTAAGTTATTGATAATGGAGTGGAAGAGGATGGAAAAGGCATCGGGACGCTTAACGATAACGACGATAACTCGCCGATAATGTTATATAATTTGGCGCTATCACTGCACCGACTTGCCACCATGTACTGCTTCTTGGCCGGTCGTCTTAGCAATCGCTTGTCTTGTTTCCCCGTCCGCATCGTATCATTTCCTAGTTGTTATCAGTGGTATCCTGATGTACAAACGCGTCACAGCTACCATCGTAAACTGAACAAATACTGACTCACAAACAACTTCATTACGACGATCTAGTGATTCCATACTGCTAATATATGTGCGATACACGTTCCGCCACAAAACTGAAGCTCTTCACGCATCTGTACAGCTCGTTCGGGAGTGACAAACCGTTTAAAAGGCAGAGGAAAACGGGAAACCACTAGAATCATCGCCCCGAGTCAAAAAAAAAGCAAGGCGCTAAGATATGCTGTCTTCAGCCCGCCACCTCATTTACCCAATTCGAAAAACTGTCCTCTTCTCTAGATGCTCATATTCACGTACTGAATAATGTTGGCTGCGATGTATTGGTTTCTACAGTCTTTCTCCTTCATCTGCTTCATTCTCGCTTCGTTCCCATAAGTAGTGCTTGCAGCTAATCTTAGAAAGAATGATGAGTCAACAATGCATCAGTTATTCGTTCCCAGGAAGTGAAAAGCCGTGAAGAAAAAGAAAGTGGAAGCTATTAAACTTATGCGTGTTACATCCAAGCAATTCTTGTCTTGCTTTGTTAAATGGCTTTTATACCAAGAATACCAAGATTGCTCAGGCTATAAGTGTGAGTATCCACGCCGAATACAGCTACGCCAGGCCTTTCGATCTCGAGCTGCATGCTTCTGTTAGTATGCACCGCTTGTTCGATGCATTGTACATCGCCTCTCTGAGAGTTGCCGGAGTGATTGCTTACTACTTATTAATGCGCTACTATAATACTTAATGCGTACTGTCCATCGGTTTTTGGCAGCGTGAACAGTGTGCCCTGCCCATGGGCCACTGTCCCTGGCCCTAATAACTACCTCCTTCCATTCCCTTAGAGGGCCTTTGAGGCCCGTACTGCCTTTTACTTTACTGTCTCGCATGGTTCCAGTGATATCTTCACGCCGCTCATCTGACGGAGAAGTGAGTTTTATACAAACCACAATAATAATATCCCTATTAATCTTTATATCTGAAACATTTTCCGCAGAAACCGAAATGTAAGGAAATTACAAATAACAATCTGAAAAACAACAACAACCTCCCATCTCGTAAAGAAAGGATGTTTGCCAGAAAATCACAGAACAATTCCAACTTCGCGCACTGCTATGCTATTTAAGGAAATATGAGCTGTAATCAGTGGGAAAGTCCTACCGGTCCTTTTATGGTTAGAAAGATGCGTTTGTGAACAGTGGTCCTGCTGCTTCACATTTCAGAAGTATCTGGAAACAGACTATGACTGCAAGACCATCTACTTAAGCAAATTCGAAACTTTTCTGTATTCCATTTGCTGCGAAATGCGAAGATATTCGGAATTGACCTGAGTGGTACTATTTTGTTAGTAGTGAACATCAGCGTGACAGCCATTAGCTTTCTCTGCAAAATGCAAAACAAACTGGGAGGGATGATCTTGACTTTCCGGCAAGTGACAGTAGCAAGTCAGCCATCGGAACGAATGGCTAAGGAGATTACTACCTGCGCTGTTGGATTTAAATACCAATCGGAGCGACAGAGAAATGTCATTTGTGGTCGCATCAAGCCTGCCAGCCGAAAATACCGAGACTGCTCGGGCTGTCGTTGTGGCTATCCCCTATTAGTGATTTTATTAGGATACTCCAACATGCCGAGTGCAGCTAATGCCAGGCAGCCGGAAATGAACCACTGAAATGATGCATCGTTCAGCAGTGGCGTCACCGGAATATATAGATGGAGCGTAAAAACAGAAGCTAAACTGATTTCTGTTTCTTTCCGCAGATGCATACAGCATGTGCATCCCCAAAGGCAATAATCCATAACAGTTCCAAGTAAGCCCAGCAAAC